ACAGTTAAGCGGTGGCTGAGAAGGAGCTGACACGACCGCGGGGTGTCAACGTGTGACAACGCCGTGGCCGTGTCAATTTTAAATAATGAGTTTACTGAATTTTAATGGTATATTGAACCATGTTAATATTTTGATATAAATGTTAAATTTGTTCAATTTATTTTTATATGTAATACAACAATGTATGGAGGTGAATATTCAAATTTCAATAATTTATATTCTAAGAGTTACTAAAATCAACATGATATGTTGATTTCAGTGGTATTTTATGAAAGGAATGTTACCTAACTAATACTCTTAGTTGAATTATTTTTAATTAAAGTGTACTTACTTGATACTCCCGACATTGCTATAATGAAACATAAAACATATAATAATGAGTAATACAAATTGATTAAAATTTTTATAATACAAAATTTTTCTCCATAATTATTGAAAATATAAAAAATTGTGTTTCAAATTATAAGTTTTTATTACAACGCAACTCATTTAATTATGTTTTGTATTGTTTAATAATGTCCATAAAGTCTATTAAAAAAATAACTTAAAAAATCCCAGCATAGTGGCGTCGTGGTACAATAGGGACGAGGCGTATTTGGGACCAGTATAGATTTAATCTGACTGTGATTAAAATTACTGTGATAATAAAATTCGAATATTTAGTTCGATGTGTTTTAAAATCGTGTTTTTTTAGTTTCTTTAAACTATATTTATTTTTACTTTTTAGTTTCATGTTATGATAGTAGTTATCAATATCATGTTTATAACAGGTAACGGGAAATCAGGGTTCGATTCCGGGGAGGGACTCTGAGAAACGGCTACCACATCTAAGGAAAGCAGCAGGCGCGTAAATTACCCACTCTCGGAACATGGTGATAGTGACGAAAAATGAAGATAACGGAATCATCCTTTGTAATCGGAATGAATACACTCTATATCTCTTAATGAGTGTAAAGCGTGTTAATATATATTTCTAATAGTAATTAGAATATATATATATGTATAGCGTCTTAAGTATGTAAACGTATCATGCATTAGGTATAGCCTTGTTTTATGGGCGGGGGGAACGTTATACCTGATGTATTAACGGCGTCAGGGGTGGTAAGAATGGCATGACGTATGGCATGGGGGTCGTATTAGTCAGTCAAAATAAAAATTTGTATACAGGATGATTTTTTTATCATACCCACTCAATTACGTACATAATAATAATTTAAACATTCNATCATACCCACTCAATTACGTACATAATAATAATTTAAACATTCTTTTTTTTATTATCTTTAGTTAAACATTATTCTTGAATTTTTAACTATGTAATACTTTTTAAGTTCATCCCTTATGCCTTGTAAGGGGGTCCACTTTGTTTTTTTAAATGGGAACAAATATTTTGAATTTAATAAAATGTTTGAGTTTTTAATTTAATAGTAAATGGCATTTGAATTTTTAATATAACTTAAATCGTTTATTAGATAATTTATTATAAAGTTTCATATTTTTGAGTTAAAATACAGGTATAATACACAAGGGATTACAAATATAGGTAGCTAATTAGTTTTTTATGACATTTCTGTCTCAGTCACGGATTGTTTATTATAAATTACAACTATCAATAGATATAATTTTTCTATTGTCAGTTAGTGTATTTATAAACTCACAACAATGTACCTTACTATCATTGAGAATAACAATGCTGTTTACCTGCTAATATCATAAAAAAACAATTAGCTACCTCTATTTGTAACCCTTGTGTATTATACCAGTATATTAATTCAAAATTTTGAAACTTTAAATGATTATATCTAATAAACGAATTAAGTTATATTAAAAATTCAAATGCCATTTACTATTAAATTAAAAATTCAAACATTTTATTAAATTAAATCTAATAAACAAAAACCCAGCACAGGGGGGTCGCGGCACAGTGGTGACATGGTATAGATAGATGATGTATAATGATATCTGACAGCAATTAAAATCACTATAAAAAAAAAAACGCTTCGATGCAAATCTTTAGATAGTGTTTAATTTTAAAAAATTGGTGGATTATTCCAAAAGCTACATGATCTGCTAGTTTATTATTAATATCCTAATTAAGATAAAGTATGTCGAATGAAAAAGGGATTATTAAAAAATATTATTTCTCATAATAAAATAATGTTGATCCATATACTTTTCAATATGTCATAGCATTATAAAGTTAAAAATGTATAACATAAAATCGAGAATTTTCAGACAATAATAGCATTCGGTAGCCATTTTCACGTTGAAGATAAAATAAAGTCCGAAATTTTTTTTTCGCATAATAAATTAAATTACATTAGCTTTAATTTAAGATATATATAAAAGTGTCAGACTTTCCGGAACACTTTCAAAATTTAGTTGAAAAAATTAGTTTTTTGTGAAAAAGTTGTCATTTTAAATCCCCCCCCTGTGGGCAGGTAAAGGGTTAAATTTATGAAAAAAATATACCAAATGAAAGGTAATAATATTTTGCATCTATATAAAAAAGAATTATATTGATATGTTCATTTTTGAAAATGTTATGGCACTTTTAAGTAAAAAAAATTGAAAAATATCGAAAATTAGCGATTTTTAAATTAGTAATTTTTTTGGAGGTTTCCCCCATTTACTGGGAACGAGGAAATTTTTTTCTATATTTTTTCTATATTTATAACTATATTCATATGCAAGAAGTGTTAGAAACGCTATTGTTATCTCTTTATTAAATTATTTATTACATATTAATTTAGTTTATTGCTTAATAGATAATATTGATTATATTGCCCATATGTGACAGTATGACAATTTTTACTTGACAATAGTTATCATAGTTTACTGTCTAGATAAGAGTTGTAATGAAAGGTCAATGTATTATAACATTTTCCTGGCGATTTTCTGCTTTTAACACTATATCGTCTTTGCAAAACATTTACTATTAACATATTATTTTTTAATAATCACCTATTTTACTTGCTTCCTCTGCTATGGATACCAAATATCTGGGCCAATAACTGATTGAAAGGTAGGAGTTAAAAATAATATTTAATTAATAAAAGGTAAAGACATCATGCATCTATAAAAAAAAATATATTGATTTTGTTATTTTTAAAAAAATTATGGTAGTTTTATCTAAAAAAAATTGAAAAAAATGTTAAAAATTAACGATTTTTAAATTAGTATTTTTTTGGAGACTCAACGCATTTACGGGATACAAGGGAAAATTTTTCAATTTTTGAGGGTTATGTCTTCGACTAGATACAATTTGTGATATTTTGACGAATCACTTAAAGAAATTGGTTTGGTGAAAGGTGAAAAAAAGTGGTAACAGACACAAAAAAATAAAAAAATAAACACATCTTAGTAAAACAATATCTTCTCAGTTATATAAATTAACAAAATAGCAAAATAAAAGGGGACAAAAAAGGCCAAAAAATGGGCACTATACTCTCGACATGCTCTCAGTGTCTCGTCAGTATACTCCCATGGCTCATTCTACATTGATCCAGGCGTGCTCCCAGTATTGACACAGCTCATTAACCTCAATCATTTAATTAATGTGTAAGAAGTGAACAGACACGTTCAGATTTATTTAAAGTAAACGAGACGACTTAATTCATTCTCTAGACATGCTCCGGAAACATAAAGGTAGGCACTAATTAATTAAATTAATAAGGTTTAAAAATATTACATTTTTTTAAATATATGGTTAACATAGGAACAAAGAAAGATTGAGTGATCACTAAAAAAATCACTGTGTCTTTCTATTACCTTTTCACTATTCTCATAAACCCTCGAACTCATCCGAGAAACTTTTATTATCAAAATAAATAGTAACTCTTTTTCCCCTTAAAATATTAATCTCTTTCTTTTATTTTTTGAGTTACTATAAAAATAATCAAAGGACAGAGGTGTTGGATCAGCTCTCGAAGGAAAATACCGAGGTGATACAAAGTTGTTAGAGTGGTTTAATTATTAAATTAAAAAAGAAATTTGAAAGATAATTCAGTAGAAAATTTTGTTTCATAGTTATGATTGATTTTTTATACCTATTTTAATTTTGTAGTAATAAAAAGCTTGTTTTATTATTTAACTTTTAAGTGAATGCGTGATACATTCAACTTACTTGACGTGGCTTTACTCATTGACATGTAATGATCTAGAAAAAAGTATAAATGTAATCAAAATAATTAACTTATTAAGTTTTAATTGAAACTGTTGTTTTTTTTTTTTTAATTGAAATAATTTTTTAAATCCTAATTATACTCTTTAAAAAAAGCTTTAATTTTTTATATAAATTTGGTCTATTTTTTACTTTAAAAATTAAAAAATAAGACACAATAATTGATTATAAAAAAACAACACGCTATATTATTATTTTTATAATTATATATTTTACAGCAACAACTTATAAAATGTTGTTCTTTTATTACTAAATTTTTCAAATTACTTATAAATAGAATTGTCCACAATATTTTAAAAATCTAATCATTTTTAATGTATTAAATATTTTTAAATTGTTCAGGAAATACTCCGGACTTTAATCATATGAAGTTTTTCTTATTATGAGTCAAATTATATATATCCATATGAGTGAGTGGGTAATTATCCAATTTACCCCGTTTTAAAAAAAAAAAAAAAAAAAACAAATATAAAAATTATTTAAGTGATTGGTATAAATATTTTCATGGAGAATTTACGCAAATTTTAATGTTAATCCAATATTTATATTAAATGAACGAGGTTGCTTTTTCCAAAAATAATGTTCTAGCTTCAATGGCTTATGATAAATTGAGTTAACAAAATTTAGGGTAATTCTCTTAATAACAACTGATATCTTCTCATATTCACTCGATTTCTTTTAAAATAATAATTATGTTAAGAAAATCATTTTTGGTATTTCTCAGTTTCATAAATACCTTGTGATTTATCTATTATAATAGTTTTTTCATTCATCCTTTATATAAGGTATGTAAAATAAATTGAAAAAACATAAAAATCTAGTAATATTTAAAATTAAAAAAGACCAAAAAGAATTTTCTTAATGTAACTGTTATTTAAAATGTAATCGAGTGGCTAATATTAAAATAATCCTATTGTAAAGAACAACTTAATAATTTTTTATAAATCGTCTATAAGTATTATAATCTTGTATAGTAGGTAGCAACATGAAAAATTTTTTGTTAATATTATAATAATTAATATAATTAGATTAACTATATAATTACACGAATTAGCTATATAACTAGTTAATTTATTACAAATTGTTTAATTAAAAAAAAATAATTGGTCCAACTTTATAATTTTTTATAAATCGTCTGTAAAAATTATAATACTAAAATATTTAATATCAATTTCATACTAAATTTTATTATAGTATTTATTCATTTATGTGTTATACTTATTTTATGTATTTATTTAAAGGGTTAAAAAATAATTGATCTTTAACAACTTTTAGATCAGTTAAGACCTTTAGACTTTTATGATGTTATTAACATTTTTATGCCTAGATGAGAGCCTAGGTCGCATATAGTGCGAACTGAAAATATCTAGTGCTAAATTTAAGAATACTTGTACCTCAATTCTAGGTATTACTTAATATCATTAATAACTGACGAAAGATTGGTCCAATAGTTATTATGAACAAGTAATTTTTTTAATTAGATCAAGTGTTCTACGACAAAAGAAATACTTTGAATAAAAACAATTAATTTATTACCATTATGAATAATCATAAATGTGACAGTTGAAGAGAAGACTAAAGAAAATAATTTCTGAAAAATCAATAATTAATATTAGAAATATTTAATATTTAATTTGTCAAATATTCTACTTACCATTACGATTTGTTGAAAAAAATAATGTGTAGTGTAAAATGCAACAAATATCTTTAGAAGATTTTAATATATTTAGTTGAGTTAAAGGGCTTTTATAGATGTTTTTTATTGACTAGAATGAATAGTTTATTCAATTGTTATATATCATTACTACAAATGTATGACAGAAAATTATTTTTAAACTTGTTTTCACATTTTTTGATTAATACATAAAAATATTTTACCTACATTTGGATACAATTTTTTTAACCTTAGCCATTCGATTTCTCTTAATTCATTAAGATCATGGATGTTAAAAATTATTACTATTAATCTATAATCGTGAAAAAATTTAATGCATCTTTTTTCAAATTTAAATTCGCAATTTTTCTACAATAGATAAAAATATTTTCTTTACACTTGTATATAATCAATTTTTATTTATTTTTATTTTTATTTTTTATTATTTAATGAGTAGTATTAAATCTGTAAACATGAAAACAATATATTAAAATGTTTAAACTAACAGCCTAAAATTTCAATTTATGTTTTTTAAATATACAGAGTTTTTTTTGAAAACTACAGAAACTCTACAATAATATGTAATTAAACAATTTTTTTTTTATACCTTTAAGTATAAAAACGGTAGCACAGTGGGGTCGAGGCACAGTGTGGACGAGGCATAGATGGGACAAGTATAGATGATATCTGACAGTGATTAAAATCACTATCATAAGAAACGCTTCGATGCAAATCTGTAGATAGTGTTTCCTTTAGAGAAATTGGTGAAATATTTTAAAAGCAACATGAACTCTTATTTCTTTAATTATATCCTGATTAGTAGTTCTTTGATTTTAAAATATAATATATGAATAAATACTAATTATAGTTTTTAAATTTAGTATGAAATTGTGAGGCCAGCTATGATGTATGGTTAATAGTGTTGGGCGGTTGATAAGAAAGTAGAGCAGAGAATAAGTGTAGCAGAGATGAGAATGCTTAGTTGGATGAGTGGAGTGACTAGAGAAGATAGGATAAGGAACGAGCATATAAGAGGAAGTATAGGTGTTGCGTCAATCGTGGATAAGATGACAGAAAATAGACTTAGATTGTTTAGTCATGGTATGAGGAAAGAAGAATCGAAAGCTGTAAGAACAGTTATAGAAATGAATGTTGAAGGAAGAAGAGATAGAGGAAGACCAAAAAAGAGATGGAGGGATGCTATTGAATGCGATTTGAGGACAGCTGATGTGAGCGTAGAAGATGTGGGAGATCGTGTCAAGTGGAATCTTAGGATAAGGGTGCCCGACCCCAAGTAGTTGGGATTAAGGCAAAGAAAAAGAAAAATATTACCAGATATTCCGGTGGCAATTGACATAATATGATTGTTATTTCGGAATGTACAATTTAGCGTTTAGTTGGGTTTAAATAATATAGCGTCAAATCAATTACCTACTCTATCGGTTGTATCTCAATATACACTACACTTTAATGATACAATAAATAAATAAACTCACACATACACACATATGCATTTATAACATTGTGTCTAATGTAAGTATAACATGATAAAAAGTAACCGTAAAATGAAAAAAATGGAATATAAATTTTATTACTCATATTAAATGTAATGTAACTCGAAAAATATTTGTTTAAATGAAAAAATATAAGATTATATTTTTATTTATAATTGTCTTTTAAACAACTTTTGTGCGAAACTTTTTTTTGTAAGTTAAATATTTTTTTTTGAGAAAATTAAGAAAGCTCATATTTTTGAACTTTTGCGAGGATTTAAAAAAAAAGCTCAATTCCAATCTTGAGGACTATTAGTATGTCATTATACATATTTTAATTCAACTTTTAAAAAAACAAAATTTTTTCCGCAATTTTTCCTTTGTTGACTGGCCTAGATGTCAATTTTAAACTTGTAATTGAGCTAAAAGTTATGGTAATATATTCAATTTATTTTACTATAAACTTTCATAAATCTTTATCAAAAATTTTTCATCAACTTTAAAGAACCAAAAAAATAGGTTAAAATTGAAAATTTGGACTGATTATTTTTAACATATTAAAAATCAAATCAGTAATAATTTGAAAACAAATTTTTTTTTCTTTTAATTATTATTTTATATATATAATTAGTAATAATATAAAAAATTAGAAGTGATAGAAATAGTCTACTTGCAGATTTGAAAACAACGCGAAAAGTTGATTTAGAAAAGTATATTTTTGCTTCTGATGAAAGTTCCTTGTAGTCCAGTGCATTTTTTTATAGTAACAAACAGTTTTTATTGAAAATTATTGTATCAAGCCCTTTAAATTTTTATACACGTAAAAGTAAAGCAAAATATAACTTCTTTATTATTTTTATAATTTCTCCGTTTAAATTACAATATTAAATATCAATTTCATACTAAATTTAATAATTATAATTAGTATATATTCAAATATTATATTTTAAAATCAAAGAACTACTAATCATGATATAATTAAAGAAATAAGAGTTGATGTTGCTTTTGGAATAATCCACCAATTGCCTAATTAAAACAAAAAAAAAAAAAGTTTGTTGGGAATTTTTTCTGCTATTCTGCAAAATTACTCCTTCGTTGACTAGAATGAATCATTAAATAGAAAATTTTATGAGAATTAAAACAATGTTATTTTTAAGATTAATATGCAGTCAGAAAGTTTTATAATTATTATTTATTGTAAATTTATCAGAAAAACTCATTATTTTTTGCATTTTTATCGTAATAGAACACTTAAATAGAAATCATAGTAATCATTTCTAAGTAATTTTTGATATTTAAAAAGATTCTACTATTGAAATATCCAGAACTGAATTAATTTTAATGATTTACTTTAACTAAAAAAAAAAAAGTTAATATTTTGAATCCCTCTTGTGGGCAGGTAAAGGGTTAGATTTATAAAAAAAACCAAATGATAGATAAAGACATGCATCTAAATAAAAAAAAATATACTGATTTGGTCATTTTTGATAAAGTTATAACAATTAACAAAGTTATAAGTTTTATACACTGGACTACAAGGAACTTCCATCAGAAACAAAAATATACTATTCTAAATCAACTTTTCGCGATGTTTTAAAATGTGCAATTAGACTTTTTCTATAACTTCTAAGTTTTAATATTATTAAAAAATAGTTTTTACATATAAAAAAAAATAATTAAGAACAAAAAAAATTGTTTTAAATTAATACTGATTTGATATAATATTTAATATTAATTTGATTATTAATAAGTTAAAAATAAGGAAAATGACATATTTAACCAATTTTGTTAATCGTTTAAAGTTGATTGTTGTAAATGTTTATAATAAAAAAAAAAAATTTATTTTACCATAACTTTTAGCTCAATTGGTAAGTTTGACATTGACATAATTAAATAGAAAATTTTATGACAATTAAAAAAATTGTATCGTTAAGATCAATATGCAGTCAGAAAGTTTTATAATTACTATTTATTGTAAATTTATCAGAAAAGCTCAATATTTTTTTGCATTTTTATGGTAATAGATAACTTAAATAGAAGTAATAGTAATAATTTCCTAGGAACTTTTGTTGTTTGTTGAAAAGATTCTATAATTGAAATATTGAGAACTTAATTAATTTTAATGATTTACTTTAACTAAATGTACCAATCAAAACAAAGTTGTTAAAAAGATTTACTCAATTGAGTTTATTATAAAATTTGATTATATTTGTAAAAATCAATTGTTAATTCAGGAGAAAAAACAATCATTTTTTTTAGAAATGATTTATATAGCAACACGTTAGAAAAAAATTTGAATATTATAGTCTAATAGTAGCACACACAAACAGAGTAATAAAATTATTAAATTACAAAGTAAAATGATTTAATTTTGTAGTTGAAACCTATCATATCAAACTTCATTCGTTAATAAATATTTTGAAAACATTAGAAATTAATGATTTTAATTGTCTTTATGGAGACGATGTAATAACTAACTGTTTAATTGATAAATTAGAATTTTTTTTTCAATTTTTGAGAGTAATATCTTCAACTAGATACGAATTGTAGTAATTTGACGTATTGTTGAAAAAAGTAGGTCAAGTTAGAGCAGAGAAAATAAATGATAGTCACAAAAAAATATCTTCTCGGCTTTGCATCGAAGCGAAAACTTAAAATATAGTAAAATAATTTTAATACGAATAAGAAATTTCTTCTTGCAAGGGGCGACTAAAGTGATGGGATCCTTGATCTTTATTGAAGTTATTGAATCTAAATGTGATAAAAATCAAACGAGTTAAAATTTATACTAACTTAAAAAGAATTAAGAAAAAATGCAAAAAATTCATTGCCATATGCGGGTTGGAACCTCGTACCCCAAGCGTGTAAAACATAAATTTTACCAACTCGGCAACCGTACGTTGCTTCCGGCGGTTGAAAAATTGGCTATTTAAGCTAGTTCAAATTTCAAAGTTATTTTTCTCGACTTAAAAGAAACAAACATATTTAAATAAGTTTAACTATCTATACTATATCAATTTTAATTTATATAATATTTATGAAAATCTGTACTCCCCTTGTCAGGTATTTTAAAATAAAATAAAATACAAAACCCAGAATTTTAACACAAAAATAGCATATTTTTGCATACGGTAGTCATTTTTACCATGAAGACAAATCCAGAGGTCAAATTTTTTTTTTTCACATTAAAGTATATTACATAAGCTTTAATTTAAGATATATTTAAAAGTGTCAGTATTTCCGGAATACTTTCAAAAATTAAATTGAAAATATCGTAGTAACAATACGCATGTTTAAAGTTTTGACCCCCCTTGTTAAAGGGGTATGATCCGATTTACAAAAAAAGCGTGCCAGATGAAAGGGGTATATCAATATTTATTATAAAAAAATAATAATATAGATCCATACATTTTTCCAAAAGTTATATAAAATATAAATTAAATAATATAACATATAAAATCGAGATTTTTTTCACGGAAATCGTACGTTTTTCTTTAACTTTGATGTCCGTTTTCACCACGAAGACAAGTCCAGAGGTCAAATTTTTTTTTTTCAAATTAAAGTATATTACATAAGCTTTAATTTAAGATATATATAAAAGTGTCAGTCTTTCCGGAACATTTTCAAAAGTTAAGTTGAAAAAGTTGTCATTTTGAATCCCCTTCTGTGGGCAGGGAAAGGGTCAAATTTACAAAAAAAATATACCAAATGATAGGTAAATATTTAAGGTATCTATAAAAAAAAAAAAATGATATTGATTCGATCATTTTTAAAAAACTTATGGCAATTTTAAGTAAAAAAAATTGAAAAAATATCGAAAATTAGCGATTTTTAAATTTGTAATTTTTTGGGGGATTTCCCCCGTTTACGAGGAACGAGGGAATTTTTTTCAATTTTTGAGGGTAATGTCTTCGACTAGATACGATTTGTGATCTTTTGACATATTGTTCATCAAAATCGGTCAGGCGAGAGCTGAGATTGAGCGTTCACAGACAAAAAAAAAAAAAAAAACACATCATAGTAAAATTAATACCTTCTCAGCTTCGCATCGAAGCTAAAACCTAATCATTAATTTTCTTTAACTACCATTTTTAGTTGGATAATGTGATAAAAAACAAATTCTCAAATAATTTTGTTCTTAGAACTTTTATAATTTTTTAATTATATTAATAAGTTTTTTTATAATTTGTTTTCGCAATTGTAAGGGTGTGGGGGAAACGTAGTATGCCGCTTACCATGAGACGCGTAACGCGATTGGGTTGGGACAGTGTCAGTGTATTAGTCATTTAAAATGATAGAAAACACCATTATGAATAATATTTGGAAACCTGTTTCAGATATAATTATCTGGTCAAATTTGGGTACTTTACAGATTTATTTTTAGACAATTTTTTCAACTTGATTTTTCAATATGTTCCGGAATACTGACACTTTTATATATATCTTAAATTAAAGCTTATGAAATATACTTTACTATGAACAAAGAATATTTCAAAAATTAATTTTTTTTATTCTCTGAACTGTAAAATTTCTTTTTATTGCACGAGTATCTTAAATATTCACGTGTATTTTAATCCATTTTCTTAATCTTAACACGGCTACAAAAAAAAGTATGTCGAATGAAAGAAGTATACAGGGTGATTTTTTTATCATAACCCACTCAATTACTTGAGAATAATAATAATTTTAACATTTTTTTTTTTTATTATCTTAAGTTACATATTATTCTTGAATTTTTAACTATGTAATACTTTTTAAGTTCATCCCTTATGC